TCAGGAGAGGTCTGCCACGCCATGTGGTCATCTCCGGGGCAGGCGGGAATCAAACTCATGCGGAAGTGGCTTTTAGCTTCTTAGTGCTGTGCTTTAATCCGCTGCACCACCAGGGAGGGCCTGTTGTTCATTTTAAAACAATGTTTACTTCTTCTCTCCCCCAGTTTGCCAGTGCATCATCACCACAGCCCCCACATTTAAGATATGCAGGATTTTCAATAGTGAGAATAACATAGTAAGTTTTTTATTTTAAGATTACATCATTGGTACAAATTAGGAGAGGTGAGATTAGTGATAAATCCAATTAAACAACTTTGGCAGTAATTCTGATAAACAGTAAGATGTTGAACTAAATGTAATTGAGGATAAAAAGGAAAGCTCAAGACAATGTTAGACTATAGTCTATAATTAATATTCACAGGAAAAGTAAAAATTGAGAATGTTCCCGAAATTTCAAGCTTGGACAACTGGTTGAGGGTGACTCTAGTCATAAAGATAGTGGGTAGATTTGTGATGGAAATAATGAAGTCAGTTTGGAATATACAGTGTTAAAAAATAATTATTTTGAAAAGATGTTTGAAGCTCAAGAGAGGTTTAGACTCAAGATATGAAAATCAACAAATCATTTGAAGCCAAGCACAAGAATGAGATGTCCTGGTAGACTGTAGACTGAGAAAAACACTAAGCTGGCTGATGGGGAACAACATTTAAGGAACCTTAAGTACAGACTAGTTGTTGTTAATTTTTATTTTGCTTTATTTATTAAATTAATTTTTTCCTTGTTGGTTTTTGGACCGTATTTTATTTCTCCTCCCCTCCCCCCCCCAGGTATAGTAGTTCTCCTCCCATCATAGCATTGGATCCATCTGTGCAGTCTCTTGCTTCCCTGTTTTGACCCTTACCCCCACATCCCCTTGCCGTATGCCTCAAATTTATGGTCAACTTGCAGTGTTTTGTCTTTTTGTTGATCCTTTGATCTTTTTCTCTCTCTGTCTCTCTCTCTCTATAGATATCTATATATCTATATAAAATCTGAGTTAAGGAAGCCATCTCATATTTATCTTTTTACTTCTGATTTATTTTTCAGCGTAATTCCTTCCAAGTCCATTCATGTTACTGCAAATGGCATGATTTGTTTAGTGGCATTTAGAATGTTTCCATATCAGCTATTATAAATCATGCTAGTTGCTGTTAATTTTTATCTTTAATATTTTTGATCACTCAATTTATTGGTTTTCTGATCCAGGCAACTGTAGGCCTTCACTTTTGACACATCCCATTTGGTAATAAGATGGTTCTTAAGTTAGTCCCATAGAATTGCTCTTGGACATAGTAGAAAATCACTGTTTTAACACCATTTTGTAGGATAAAAATTGAAAGTCTTAACTAATTTTCTGAGAATGTTAGTATTGAGCATATAAAATAACCTTGAGTGAAATATGAAATTAATACTAATCTTATTCAATGACATTTTTAATATATAGGTTTAGTATAATGATAGTACTTTAGTATTTAAATTGAATGTCTTAATGCAATATCTGTTCTCTTAGGTCTTGAAGTTAAGCCTTTACAAATGCTCATTGGAAAACTTCGCAAAGTAGTATCTGAAGAATGTTCTTATTTTACACAGGTAAGATATTAGTTAACAAATATTTGTAAACAGGAAATGTTAAATATAAGTGAGTGCTTATTTGATAAGCAGAATCATTCAACTTAGTGTTGCCTACTCTCTTATTTCAAAACTGGTCTTGAAAAGTATTCTTGTTTTTAGAATTAAAATAAGAAGTTGAAGTTTTTCCTGTTACTCTGTTTGAAAAAAAGAAATTCAGATAAATTATCTTAGTTGAAAAGAATGATATAGCTAATAAGAAATCAGTGGCCTAATAGAATGTCAAGCAAGTCTTTTCCCCTTCCCTGCCTTTTCCATCTCTGCTCAGTGGTGATTATTCTAGCAGTAAATCTCAAAAAGGAAAAAACATAAACATATGCATGGTAGAATAGTCACCTCTGAACAGATTGGTGAATGAAATGGGTAAGCAATACTTAACACAAAATTTTATCTGTAATCATTTTCTTAAAAAAAAAAGTAATATAACTAAATATTAATATTTTTGAAACAAGGTAATGTATAAATTATTTTTCTGCATATGAAATAGCTGGATATTTAATCTATTTGTCTACTGTGTTTCTCATCTCCATCCTAACTTGTGTATTTGTGAATTAAAGTGAGAAAAGAGTGGTGTTAAGTAGGAGGTGAAAGAGAAAGCTGCCTTTACTGATCCTGATTACCTGTAAATAGTTCAGAAAACAGTAATTCAAAGAAAAAAGATAAAGACCTATGTTGAAGGCTGTTATTCATTCAGCTACTCTGAAGCCTCCAGCTCCACCCTCTGCTCAAGGGTTCAGGGATTGTTCTTTCATATATTCTGGTGGTAGTTAGCAAATATGAATCCAAGTCACAACAATTCATTTATAAACTGAATTTATATTTTTTTCTTATAATAATGACTTTATCTGACCTCTTACCTCAAATTGAAATATGAATCAACTTATTATAATGGAGGGGTCCTCTGGAGTTTTGTCATGTGATGTAGTTTTGTCATTAACCTTTGATGCTGACAGGACTAGTTAGTTACTTCATCTTTCAGAGTCTCTTCATCTGTAAATTGGATGATCAATAATTAAAGTTTCTGCCAACTCTAATGTTATAAAATTTCATCTTAGGGACTATGCTGAAAATATAATAAACTCATTAATTGATAGTAACTTTTTAGCATGTTATAAGAAAAAGTGCAGTAAGCAATTATGGTTAATTCTAGAAGTTGATGATTGTTATTTATAGCTATCTGAGGGGCAAAAGTGAAACTTACTTAGAATGCTTACCAAATGATTATGAAGCATGTCTTGTTTTTAAATGATGATAAAATTGTTGTTCAAGAGAAAAACCAGAATATTATATCAAGTATTAAAAATTAGTGTGTATATAACCCCTGAAAATTTATGTATTTTAGAAATGGGTCCATAGAAATCTGGCTAAGAGAATACATATGGTATAGTACAATTTATTAACTATGTCAGAAAATAGAAACAGTATATTTTAGCAAAGATAAATATTGTTGGGGGGTGAAACCTCAGTATTTGGGATACTTTCTGATATTTCTCTATTAAAACATTGGGCAAATTTGAAAGGTTTGCAGTGACAGTTAAACTGCTGATGAAGTATGAATATACTTTTCCTACTTGTTGATATATTTTCTATGGTCTTTTTACTAGTCATTATAATTTTTGAACCTCTGTCTTTGTCTTCTGTTATATTTTTCAAGGCTAGTTGATATTACAGAGATAACATCAGAATAGGATCCAAGAAAGTTGTAGATGAAATACCAGATAGATTCATTATTAGAGAGAAGCAAAAGAATTACAGTTTTGTGCAGTGAAGATTATCCATATTTTCCTGATGTTAGAAGAATTTCATATCCTGTTTACAGGGAGTGAAAGATTTAGACTTTATTTTTCTTCCCCATACTGATTTGTTGTTTGTAAGTGTGTTTTCTTACTGATTTTTCTGTGCTGTTTTGGCTGTCTTTGCATATAAGAAAATAATGATTAATGATCTTTTAGATACAGAAATTAAAATTTCAGTTCCACAAAATATCTAATTTTGTTGTTAACAGACTGTTTGCAGTATCCTTGGTGAGCACTATACGTCTGCTTTAGAATGTGAAGTAAATCTAGAAGAGAAAGAGATTTCTGGTGTTCACATTTCTGAAAATCAAGAGCTAGAATTACAAGATTATAGAGATGAAATTCAAGGTAATGAAAAGCTTACCCTGCTACTGAAGAGAACATTTAATTTTTTTAATCAACTGATGATATTATTCATGGTTTAAGCAACCTAATTGTCTTTCTTTATGACTAAAGTCTTATACTTAACAAACATTTTTATTTGTAATTGTCATGTAAAGAGAATTAAAACTGTTTCCCGTCTCATTTTCCTCTAGTCTTCTACTCCAAACTTTTCCTTCATTATTGCTCTTTTCTTAATTTTATACTATAGATACAAACCTTTAAAAATTCATACATTTACTTAGTAAGTTTATTCAGTGGCTAAATTTTTAAGAGAATAAGAATTATTTTTACTTTAAAAAATTTATATAATTTGTGTGTGTGTGTGTGTGTGTGTGTGTTTTACATCATTGTTCATTATTTTACAATGTATACTTTCTTCTCTCAGGTGTAGTCACCATAAAATTTCCACCACTTGTTTACCCATAAACCATAAACATAGTCCTTTGTACTCTTCCCTCCCGTTTTGATTCCTCTGCCTCCCCCTTCCTTAAAGAATGTTCCTGATTTATAGCTGCCTGTTAATTAAAAAAAAATTATTTTGATTGTTAATATATTTTTTCCTACTCCCTTATTTGGTTCTATATTTCTCCTATAAATGAAATCATCTAATATTTTTCTTTTTTCTTCTGGCTTACTTCACTCAGCATAATCCTTTCTAGCTCCATCCATGTTGCAGCAAATGACATAAACTTATCTTTTCTGATTACTGAATAGTATTCCATTCTGTATATATACCACATCTTCCTGACAATTATTTATCTTAATAGAAATATTAGTTTATTTTTAACAAATTTCAACCTCAGTTTTTTGGTATCTCTTCACAAATAAACTGTTCCCAACTTCTGCCCATTTGTATAAGTACTGAAAAAAATGTGTATAAGTTGGGGAATATTAAAAGAAATGACCATATTTTAATATACAGTGTCAAGTTATCTTGTTGATTTTCACATTGAGACTAAAATTTTTGTTTACTTAATATACGAAGTTTACTACTAACATGTGATTTTCTAAAGTCATTAAAAATTAATAAATTTTGAAGAAGGGTACTTTTACTGTGGGGTGAAATTATTTTTTACCATCTAGACTTCCAAGAAAATATGCAAACCCTTCTCACCAGAGTAACAGAAGAATACAACAAACTGTTGGTACTTCAGACAAGGTTAAGTAAGGTCAGTGAAATGGAAATATATATAATGTTTATATTTATTGTATTAGTTGCTGTTTATAAGTATCTTCAATAAGCAAGAATTTCTAAAGCAAATGAAAATAAAGAGATTAGAGACATGTGACATTTATCATATCAGTAAGATGAAAATTTCAACTCTGGGGAATTTTGAAACCATGCTATATAGTAAAATAGGTGAAAAATCAAATTGTAAACTTTGTGAAACAGTTTAATTTAATGTATGACATTTTAAAAAACAATGGTTATGTTACATAGAAAAGTAGTGATTAGTTTGTTTAGAATCTAGTCTCATTAGTTTCATTCACAGTGTTGTATATGCCTTATTCATTTTCAAGCAGTAGTTCTTTTTAATTTGTATATAAGTTAGTAAAGATATTATAGATAACATGGTATAATTTAGTAATTATGTAAAAAATTAACTTAGCTTATATTAGCAAAGATAAGTGTTCTAAATGCTCATTGTTGTAGCAGACAAAAATCTAAATCGAACTCTGTTCAGTTAGGTGATTTTTTGATGTTCTGTTAAAATGTTTGGGAAATTAAAAAAAAAAAATCTGACAGGTAACCAGTGAAAGTTATAGCCTCTTCCTCTCACCCTTCTTTTTCCCCTTCCTTACTCCTGTACACACCTTTCTCCCTTTCTCTTGGTCCTTTTAAGCATAACTTTAGTTATCCTTTCATGAAATCTGTAAACCTACTCCAGTATTACAGATAACTATGTAAAATGGCAAACGAATAGGTAAGCACTATGCTTAACTTTACATTTCCTTATTTTTACTACTTAATTATTTCTAATCACAGCAAAATGTTGAACCCCATTCAGAATGATTGTACCATTTTTCTTATGAATATCTTCAACAGACAGGAATAATTGTTGTTTTTGTTTTTGTTTTTTTCCTGGTACTCTTATCCTACCTCCAGAGATTCTTTTTCTCTACTCATACTTGAATTTCATAGGGCTGCTAAGGAAATTATTTGATGCTGCGGCTTAGTTACAATACATAATCATTTTCAGGTTCAGTTAAGAATTGTTTTATGTGGTCATTTATCCTCAATAACCTCCTGTAGACATCCTCCATCTTTACATCTTTCTTCCTGTCATTTGTTCTACTTCTATTCTGCTGTTTTCTTCAGATGGCCCTCTCTATCTGCTGGTATCAGCACTATCAGTTTTTTGGGTTTTTTTTTCTCATCAGAATACCTGTAGGCTATATGTACTTCTTGATAGCTGTGAATACCCTAATTTATTTTCCTTTTGCCTCAGAGGAAGTTGTATTTTTTTATAACCAAGGTTATTTTATTTTTTATGCTGTTATTCTTTTTCACCTTTTCTAAGATTGATAATCCTGTCCTTCCACCTGTGTTTTCAACTTCATTCTGTTTTTCTCTATTTCTGCCCTTTCTCCTTTCTCATTCCTCATGTCTCTCCTGTATAGAAGGTTAACAGTCTTCCATCATTGTGATATCTCTTTTCTCTTGGTTCACTTTACCCTTCTTTGTCACATTCTTTGAAATAATAAACAGCAGCCAGAATTCCCCATCTTCTCATCTGCTTTTTTTTATCCCCTGTAAACAGCTCCCTACTTAAACATCACTGAACTTTTTTTGGCAGAGTCATCAGTGAATTCTTAATTACTAAATTTCCTTTCTGCTTTCATACCTTGCTTGTTTTCATTCTTTTTAAAATATATTGCTTTTTTTCTTATGGTAATAAATAGGTGAAATTATTTAAAAATATAGGAATTTTACAGTAGACAAATAATATACGGTGATGTTTGACATTTGGCCTCTTTTAGTATTGTGAATAGAGAACAGTTTGCTTTAATGAGAGACACACTGCCACTATGTGGGAAATTTCACTTGAACATAAACAATTACATTGGCTCATTATTTCTCCCCACTCAATTTTTAAATTTTCAGAAGAATTTTATCTGCTACTAGACTTTTGTTGGCTAAGTCATAAGAAAGCACTGTTCTATGATTAATTAAAGATCAGTGTATTTGTTTTCTTCCTGCTGTTAGGAACTTTCTCTGAGTCTGGGGAGTTTGTAGGGTGTGCTAAATAAGTCAACTATCTCCTGTAACTGTGGTTCCCTTCATGTGTGTTTTAAGCTCCTGCTTCCTCTTCTTTGCCAAATCAGTGCTCTTCCACCTCCTCTGTTTTCCAGAGCTGCTTGAAATCTTTGTTGGTTTCTTTTCTTTTTGTTTGTTTGTTTGTTATGGATTTATACCTTTTAAAGATTCTTCTTTTATCATTTTATTGAGCAGTGGAAAGGAGGAAGGAGATCACATGGAGATCTATGCCAGAGATCACAAAGATAAATAACCTGAACTTAGATCATAAATTTAGTAAAAAGAGGCAGGTGAAAACGGAAAAAGTGAAACTTGTAGTAAATATGTGTCATTCAGAGGTAGCTCAGTTACAACCCATTGTTGCCATATGTTAGAATGGAGTCAAATCGTGCTAATTTCTTTCAATTTCTCGGCTTTTTTGTGAGGTATTTTGCTTTTAAAAATGTTGGCGAGTATTAAAGATAATATTTTTAAGTTGGAAACAACCGGGGCGGGGAGGAATTTAGTTCCAAAAGAAATAAAGTCACATATCTACTTTGCAACCTCAGGTATAATACATGCTTAGTGTATGTAGAACTAGTTTTCTTTTAAACTTTACAAAGTTTAAATTCTATAAAGTTTATTTGCCGCTTTCTTAGAATATTTTCTTCTTTTAGCTTCTGTGACTTTGATTCTGTAGTTTTTTTTGTAAGTCTTCATTGTTTGTTTTTCCTACTGTGCTTGTTTCTCTTATGCTATATTCTGCTCTCATCTTATGGATTCCAGATCTCCATGTTATGGTCAGTCCTGATTCCTGAATTGCAGACTCAGGTATCTCATTACCTCTCTCTACCAAACAGAGAATTGAATAGATCTGTCTCAGTTGACATTTTGAAATTGGAATTTATTAATTTCTTCTCAATAAAACAGCTTTTTCTTCTCAATTTGAAGAATTACATTCAACCAGGAACTTGGAGATTATTGTAGAGAGTTATCTCCCCTAACCACTGATCTTTTGTCATATTGTAGTATACTCTATAGGTGATACAAAAGAGGTGGAAGAAGGCCCTTTGCTCCCTGCCACCAGGAGGGGCCTAAGTCTCAATGCTATTATGCTATCACCAGGGCAGCCTGAGCTCAATCCCATGCCAGGAAGCCTACCCACATATGCCACAACAGTCCTCTCCTGTCTCACCTTTTGCTCATCTTAGCATTATATTTCAGTAGATCCATCTGTTCCATTCCCCACTCTGTCTCTGTGAATCCTCTTGTGCCCCACACCTCACCTATAGCCCATTTGTTTTTTCTTTTTACTTTTTTGCATGCAAGACCTGGGATACAGGCCAGAGGTGCAGGAGATGAGAGGATCCACAGAGACACTGAGACACTGTAGGGAGCAGAACAGAGAGATTAACTGAAATACACTGATAAGTGGAGCAGCAGGCACGACAGGAGAGGTCTGAGGCACCATGTGTGTCACCTCCCTGGCTGAGAATCAAACTTATGTCACTGGCTTCTGATAGCTTCTTAGTGTTGTGCTTTAACCCGATGTGCCACCAGGGAGGGCCCTATAGCCCAGTTCTTCTATACATAAATAAATAAATCTTAAAAATAAAAGAAATGAAAGATACCTATCTGTAGGTAGGTAGATATATGCCTTGTTTTATTCTGATATCCAGACAGTAAAATTTTTGCTTATTATATGCTTGGTTGTTCCGTGTCCTGGCAATAAAGCAATACAAAACATTAATGAAGTCATTAAATTAATTAATGGAATATGAACATTTTAATTAAAGTGTTTAAATAAGAGAAGGACTGTCACAAGTGGGATTTATTCCAGGGATGCCAAGTATAGTTCAAAATTTGCAAATCAATTAATATAATAAACCACATCAGCAAAAGAAAAGAAAAATCATATGCTCAACTATGAAACAATAAATCATAACAGTGAAGTGGCAGGCTTGAAAATAAGAAAAATCATATGCTCAACTATGAAACAATAAATCATAACAGTGAAGTGGCAGGCTTGAAAATAAATCTGTTATCTTTGTGCAAAAATCGAACAAGAAGAAAAAAAAAATCAAAGCAATCCCATTTACAGTCATATCAAAAGGAATTATCTAGGAATAAGCATAAGAAAAGAGGTTAAAGACCTCTACAATGGAAACTATAAGCATTAAAAAAAAAAGTCAAATGGAAATACATTCCCTACTCATGGTCTAGAAGAATTAAGATTGTTAAAATGATCATCTTATATGTAGATTCATTACAGTCCCTGTCAAAATTCTAATAGCCTTCTTCAACAAAATAGAATAGACATTAAAATTTGTATGAAACTGGCCCTCCCTGGTGGCGCAGCGGATTAAAGCACAGCACAAAGAAGCTTGAGCCACTTCCACATGAGTTTGATCCCCGCCTGCCCTGGAGGAGATCCACATGGGGAGGCAGACCTCTCTTGACCCGCCGGCTGCTCCCCTCAGCAGTGTACTTCGTCAATCTGCCTGTTCTGCTCCCCGCTCTGTCTCTGGTGAATCCTCTCACCTGCCGCATCTCTGGCCTGTACCCCAGTTCTATACGAATAAATAAATAAATCTTTTAAAAAAAATTTGCATGAAACTACAAAAGACTCCTACATAGCCAATTTCTAGCAATAGTTGTGACAGTGTATGTAAAATATTGTCTACTAGGTAAGCTTACCTGAGGCTGAGAATTCAGTAATTTTTTTTTAATCAAGTATTAATCAAGGTATTCAAGGTACCCTCTTGAATAGCATCTACCCATATCTGGACTTCCATAAGGAAAGCAAATGTCAAGCATAAATATGATAATTATCATAGTCTAGCAACAATATACTTTTAATCATTTAGAGAAAATTTTATATTATTGTCTATCAGCTAAGTTCCAGTATACCAAACTTGTAATCAGGCCATTCTGAAGATAGGCAGTTTCACAATTGATATGTTAACTCCTTCTGCACATTGATATTTTCACAGTTACGTACTTTTTGTATGCTGTTCTTTTTGCCTACTACTGCCCATCCCCCATCAATCTGTGTGGTATGTTCCTGCTTGTTCCTCCATTGGGTTGAACTGTAACTTACTTTGGTTGTCTTCTTTTCCTATTTTCCTGGTCATTTTTTTTCCTAGACATTTTTTTTTAGACATTTGTCCCTTTGTTCACTTAACATCTTTTACAGACTTATGCTTACTCCCCTTATTCTGTTCTTTTTAGTGCTTAATCAGATCTCTTTCTTCCATGTTCTCATAGCTCCTTGTAAAAATTTGCATGCAATATAACATTTTTCATTTTGTTAAAATTATTTGTTTCATCTTATGTCTCATGGAGTTTCTACTTTTTCTTTTCCTTTTAGCATAGTGTTTCACACATTTTTCCATAATAAATGTTTGCCAGATGAATTAAGTGAAAATATAGAAATAAATTACCATAAAAAATTTTGGTGAATGATTAACTTATTATACATATACATCTGACTTACTGCTGCCTCATTTTAATAGTTAAGGAAATAAACTAAGACTTATCTGTTTTCTTTCCTTTTGTTTAAAGAGCAGAATACCACTTATCAATTACACATTGATTATATCCAGAGATGAATAACAATTGCATTATCAAGTACTGATAATACAAAATTTGTTATGTATGCAAAGAAATTTTAAATATCAAGTTATAAATATTGTGTTTGATAGCAAAAATCTGTGCAATGCCTATTTTGTAGAAATTTGAACTTCTGCATAGGAAAGAACCTTATATTCACTAATAGCATTTTCAGTGATATGAAGGGATTGAATCTGTCAGAAGAACATACCAGATAAGTTGGACATAGAAAAAAATGTTTGTATCGGTATATCAGAGCGTTAGGTCATTTGAAGAAAACTTTTTAAATGGAAGGTTGCTTTAATACAGTTTTTTAATACTGGATCATATGTTTATGTCACTGCTTTTCTCTTATGATTCATAGATTCAAGGACAACAGACAGATGATGTAAAACTGGAACCTGCAGAAGAAAGCCTACTAAAAGAGGAAACAGACTTTATCTCAGCCTGTTCTCAGATGACAAATTTGCAAGGCATTGGTAAGTTCTGACTATACCTCAGTGTGGTGGTTTTAAGTCAAATATCCAGTAATTTTTTTTTCTTGCTTTAAAATTTGAGGCACCCTGGTTACCGTGGGTATTTTTTGTAATCTCTGTGTTCTCAGTTCTTTATCCTTATAGTGAAGCTCAGAACTACTCAACTTTTTGGTCCCTTCCTAGTTCTTTGATCAAGTTGTTTTCAATTTAAAGACATGCTAGATAGCATTAGGGATTTAGGCTATAAGAAATTATTTTAAATAATAAATTATTTTAGTAATACTAATCGTGTTTTCTTATCAACATTTGTCAAAAGGAGTTTAAATTGAAACTTGATTTGTTATTAACAAAAGTATTTTTTTAAAGAATGTTCTCTTCACACAAAAAAATTATTATGGTTTTTCATTAAGAAATTTTGTATGGATTAAGCACTCTTCTACTTATATAATTTAGATGACAATCAGAAGAGAAAGTTATCTTCCCTGCAAGCAATCAAAACAATTAAAGATCTTCAAGGACAAGTTCAAGAACTAGAAGGCTCTGTATTTTCCTTGGAGCAACAACTGAAAGAAACTAAAGAAAATTATGGGGCAGAGATCGACTGTTTGCAGGAAAGGCTTCAAACTCTTAGTGAATCCACAGTTCAGTCAAGGTATCCTTCTCTTAATAATTTCTTCCAATATTTGTAGCCTAGTAACTATCATAGTATGCTTGTCGAAAGGGAAAAATATATGACTTTAGTAAAATTGCTTGAAAGAGGTGAGACATAGTATTATTAAAACAGAAAAGTTGGTCCATCCTTGGTGGCGCAGCAGGTTAAAGTACAGCATTAGGGAGCTAAAAGCCACTTCAGCATGAGTTTGATCCCTGCCCTGGAGGGGATCCCACATGGCATGGCAGACCTCTCCTGACCTCTTGCTGCTCTTCTCAGCAGTGTACTCTGTCATTCAGCCTGTTCTGCTCCCCACTCTCTCTGGTGAATCCTCTCATCACCCCTGCACCTCTAACCTGTACCCCAGTTCCGTATGCATAAATAAAAGTAATACACTAACAATGTATACATAAAGTGTTGAAAAAAGAGCATTGCTCTTTATCTTTTAAATATGGGTAAATGCTGGTATAAATCAAAGACATTTTATTACTTGGAATATTTATTTGCAACTTTATAAGAGTGCTAGTTGTGGTTAGGCTAAATAAATCAGGCAGTATGCCTATATTTGTTGTTCTAGACCTAGTCTTTACTGCTCTGAGTGGGGATTACACAAAGAATATAAGATCATTTTAGTTTTGGCTGAACTTCCTCTAGTTTATTGTCTATTATGTTCACGTTTATTCTGTCCATCATAGAATCTGGATCTTCCCCTCAAAATTTGCTCCTTCTGCATCCTTTTCCATTTATGGTAACTCTCTTTTTCTCTTAATTCACGTCTAATCAGTAAAAAAATCCTGTAACCTCTACCTTTAAACTATATTTGAATCAAGCCACTTCTTACCATCACTCTCCCTTCCCTGACATCATCAGGTCTCATCTGTATTACTGGAACTCTTTAATAACAAGCTACTAGTTCTTTAATTAGTATTGCCTTTCCTCTAAAGCATGAAGGAGAGTTTTCTTGACACGGAGTATTACTTTGCCGCTCCTGTCAGCTCACCACATCTCTCAGATGGTCTATAATACTTAATGGAAATGTGTTGACAAAACTTCTCAGTTAAAACCATTTTTTCCTCTGCTCCAAAAGAGGTTTACTAACCACCATGCTCACTCCTATTAGTCATGAATCAGTTATTTCTTGAAAATGTCATTACATTTTTTTAAACACAATTGTAGAAAGTTTTGAGTAAAGCATATATTGTTTGCCTGAGGTCGACTTGAACTAGTTTAAGACAAATAGAGTTTAAGTAATAAATATTCAGTGGCTTCATATTAGAAACATATCTTAGGGATATAATGTGATACTGGAAAGATAATGGTCTGGCTTTAGAGTAGACAAACCCACATTTGACCCCTGATTGATTTTTTACTGATTATATAATCTTAGGCATTTTATTTGAACACCTCTAGATAATGTTAAGGACAATAAAAATGAGGAAATGTGTTGACAAAACTTTTCAGTTAAAACCATTTTCTCTTTACCCTTAGGATTATAAGAATTAAATGGAACAATGACTGGGAAGAGTCTTGGTTAGATGCTATGTAGAAAATGTGTGTGTGTGAGCGTGCGCACATGCACATGTATATAAGTGAGTGTGTGTGTGTATATGTATGTATGTGATATATATCTAAAATGGCCCTCTTTCTAAACTGACATCAGTCTAGTCATTGAAGTAATAATGATTCACAAAATAACAATTTTTTTAAGAAGATTTATTTATTTACTTATTTTATTTATACAGAACTGGGGTTCAGGCTGGAGGTGCAGGGGCGGTGAGAGGATTCACCAGAGACAGAGTGGGGAGCAGAACAGGCCGACTAATGAAGTACACTACTGAGGGGAGCAGCAGGTAGGCCAGGAGAGGCCTGCCACACCATGTGGATCACCTCTGTGGCAGGATTGAACTCATGCTTAAGTAGCTTTAGATCTTAATGCTGTGCTACCAGAAGGGGGGAGGGGTGGGGCAAAATAGTGATTTTTTTAAAAGTTGTAGTTGGGAATGTAAAATGGTGAGATAACGAAGGTGCTGAAATTTAAGATCTGTTAGTGCGGTATTTTACTTTGTATGTAACTGTACATTTCTGTTATGTTACTTATCAAAGTGGTTCAGGGATAACAAAAATAAAGGGATGAATATGAAATACTGGGATGGGAGGAATATTGGGTACAAAGCAGTGGAAAAAATCAAAATGATCCTCTGTTGTTTGAATTTAGAGAATATGGAGAATGATGGTTCATTCATATAAATAGAAAAATAAGAAAGGTGAGGAATAAAACCGTAATTATAAGAGGGGAGTTAAGTTGTGGCCACATTTTTTAATTTGGGGTAAACACTTTACAATGCTGTGAAGTTAGAGTGTTGTCATTGTGGACTAAGAGCTTTTGAACTCTGGGTCTTAATGACTGGGTAAGTAACGTAGGCTATAAAAATAAGAATCAAGACAAGAAGCTATAGTATATGTGAAAAGCAGTGAGGAAACAAAAAATGATGAAAAGAAGAATCAGGAAAGGGCAGAAAAGACACATAAGGGGAGTAAGTTTTTTTAGAATCATTTAACTAAATATAGAACATGAATAGGGAATTCACAGTAGAAGAAACCTTAAACGGTCAAAAGAATTTGAAAAAGACCTGTAATGATACACTTAAAAACACAGGCATCTATTGTCTAACAAAGTTTTAAAATTATTATGATTAGTATTATGATCATTATGTTGCTGAGATTTTGAGAACATACTTAATGATACTATTATGTGAGTAAAATTAATGTAAATTTTGTGATGTCACCATATTGAAATTTTAAATATTAAACTCAAAATTATTTGCAAGATTTTATTACATAGAAACATTTTCAAATGTGTGCCAACATTTTCAAAAGGATCTTTATGTATCTGTTTGTAATTCTACCAAGCAGTGAACATAAGGAAACAACCAGATGTCTACCACTGGTCTGTCAATTGTTAAAGTTATGAAATGAAGAAATGACATCTGTCTGCCCAGTTTAGGGCAGAATGAAAGTTTAAACAGAACAGGAGAAAGAAAGAAGAGAAAATGTAAAAGCAGAGGGTGGAATGAAGAAGGCAGCATAAATACATGTTAAAATGGAAGTGAGAAATTAAATTAGTCAAAAAAGAAAATTCTAATTTGTGTCTTTCATTCTTTCCCCTTGGTTCCTTAATAGTAACCTTACTTAATATTTATGACCTAAGTTAAGTACTTTAAGAAAAACTTTTTTACAAGATAATGAATACTTGTATCGATATAGAATGTAGATATAAATATTTATATAGATTTAAAGAAAGTCCAGATGTGACTAGCTGCCATGCGTTAAAAGCCATTATCTTTTTACTACCACTAGTTCTACTAGTGTAATTATTGTTACTTTTGATGTGTGCTCTTCCAGATTTTTTTTCTGTATATGTGTATATATGTAAATCTTTTTTTTCCCAAAGATTTATTTATGCATACAAAGAGCTGGGGTGTAGGCTAGAGGAGTGGGTGCAGGTGTGAGAGGATTCACCAGAGATGGAGTGGGGAGCAGAACAGGATGATTGACAGAAATACACTGCTGAGGGGAGCAGCTGGCAAGACAGAGAGGTCTGCTATGTCATGTGGATGCTGATAGCTTCATAGTGCTGAGACTTAACCCCTTATACTAATAAGTGAAATATTTCAAACATTTTTTATTCAGTAACTTCATAGAAGCTTATAAAATATGAATACCTATAAAAACTTCCTTGTCATACATTTGTGGTGGTCTTCATTAAATGTCATAAAATTCAATGGTGATCTGTTAAAACATTGTGTCACTCAATTATATTACTTTTAAGTGGAATATTATCAAAAGTATGATTTGAGTTACAGATCTATTACCCTTAACATGTCATTTTTGTTCCCCTTGGGCCAATGCACATACTAGACTTGCTACAGATTTGGAGCATTAGTGATCTGTCTATTCTAATTCTTCTCTCTCTTTGAATTTGTATTTAGTTTCTCCATTGATTCAATGGTAATTACTGAATCGGAAGTACAGAAAATATACCCTGGAAGTTGTGTACAGCAGAATATTGATGGTACACTAGAGGTATTACATCTTTAAGCTATATTTTAACACTGATTTTTTTTTGCTATCATTTTATATCTGTGATTTATAGTGATTATCTAGTAGTTGCTAAGTAAGTGTAAGGAAATTGATACAAAAGACCTAGAAGAGCATCTAGGCGTATGAAAATACAGAGAAAGTTAAATTTGAGTCATTCTCCCCCTGCCAGTACATTCTTGTTTAAAATTTGTCATGTTTGTATAATGTATATGGACTGTGCGGTAAATCTGCTTCAGAAACCTGACCCATGGTATTTGTTCCCACCATGGGCAAACGCACCAGATTATCTTTAGAATAATGTTTAGGAATTCTCAAAATCGAAGATCCTAAGGATGGCGACAGTAGAGGAGGCCTCGTTCAGCACAGGCACTATGATAATATAAAAAGCCTCTCGTATTTTTACATGCCATCTAACTATACCACGTTCCATTTCTCAATTCATGCTTTTCCAGTTTTGCGATTACTTTAGTCAGAATTAAAGCTCTAAAACCCTAGTCTTCATTTAGCAGATTTTTAGTTCTTAAATCCTACAGAAAATAAAGATCCTTGCCCTGTCTCATTTGGCATGTAGAGGAAAGAGTTGGCCATGTACTTAACTTTCCCACACTCATCCCATGTGGAGTATTTGTTTAGATGACATTCATATTATTGATAAATACTTAAATAAATAAAAACTAAACAGCACATATTTACTTTTTAAAACCCATTTATGTTTTTCTATTATATAAAAATTTTTATTTGTAGGAAGTTCAGTACTTTTAATAAGTACCAGAGTGATTTGCTTCTAATTTCGTAAGCAAAGATTGCCTCTGTTAACACTTTACTGAAATACATACATCTTATTAATTGTATTTAAGATATAGCATTAAATGTGTTAATGCATTTCTCACTTTACATCTGTTAAATTCATAGTAGTAACTTAATTATTTAATAGAATTATATATTAGGATTATTTACTAGAATTAATTACTTTTAAATAGGAGACTGAAGTTACTTAACTCAGCCTTTCTAAGTGATTTTTTTCATATTTAAGAGAATTTTAAAAATAAGAGATGTATAATTAGCAAATAATTATATCATATTTTGCTTTTTGATTTAGCTTTCTGGTGAATTTGGAATGAAACAGGAAACAAGTATGTTTAAGTTGCTGGAAAAACAATACCAAGAACGATTAGAAGAAGAAGTAGCTAAGGTAAGTTTATAGTTTGCCTGGAAGGTAATTATGGTTTGTATTCCTTCTGAATCTTGAACACAAATAGATTTTACTAATAGTAATGGCCCTTTTTTATTAAACATTGCATACACAGTTCATCTTTTAGTTGTCACATACTGATATCAACCACTGTTTCCTTCAAGTGGAATGTTTTGTGAAGTATTCTTTGAGAATAATATTCCTCTCTTGATGTAGAATAGAAAGTAATTAGAAAATTTCAGCATGCTGAAACAAGTCTATAAATTTATTACCTTGTGAGTTATATCTTTGAAGAAGTTTGGTCTTCCTGGAAGGTGGGAGGTAAGACATAAACTGAAAAAGAACATGGTTGGTCTTTTCTATGTTCCATGTACCTCCCAACAAGGTAGTTAATGTGACTATAGATACTAAGGTAAAATTATCATTGAGCTTTAGCTTGGGCTTAGTGAAATTTACCAGTGGGAATTTTGCTCATCTCATTTCTGTTGTATTTGTATTTCCTTTCAAAAATATACTCAGTTTTCTTACTTGTTTTCGTTTTTTAATATTTCAACTATATATGCATAACAGCTCCAATAAAGCATATACATTTTAAAGAAGATATGGACTGATAGTATATACAGGAAATGCATAAGGAGTTAGTTTATTTTTTTATTAAGTTCATTGATTTATATATCTGTTTACATTGTTGTTCATTTAAAGACAATGTTTACTTCCCCCCATCTTGCATCACCACCACAGTCCCCCACATTTCTCCCTCTCTTCTTCCTACCACTCTTCTTCTCTCTCCCCTGTAGGGTATCTCTGGTTTATAATTTGTTTTTGTTTTTGTTTGTGTTGTGTATTGTAATAACAACACAATTTTAGCCCCCAATGTTGTATTTGGTTCTAAGGACTTAGTTTAAACATAAACTTGATGAGAATACCAGTGGTAAATATGTTGCCATAAAGACTTACTCACTTTAATATCTGAATTGAATATTTAATTACTTGACATCAAAATGAAAAGTCACCCCTGTCACTTTTCTGTAGCTCACATTATTTAGTTCTGCAAAGAAGTATAGGATTTCTCTTGCACTTCATTTTTACATATATGTTTAAATGGGGTTTTTGAACATGCCATCCTGTATAACAGTTAAGATGTACAGTTTGGTAAAGGATAATCCATGCTTTAATTCTCTCTATGTTTTTCATTTGCTAGACTTTTAATCTTAGGAAATTTACTTAGTTTTCGAGTCTTGGTTCTATATACATTAAAAGGGTATAATAATAATTCTTTGAAGGATTCAGTGAACTTATTGCATATAATGTACCTAGGAAATCAATTAATATATAGTAAAGTTGTTTTTTTTTACAACAGTTAATATATAGAAAAGTTTTTAAAGCGATGTTCTTAAAGTAGTCTTATTACTGTGTTATTGATATGACATAAATAAGTTTGTAAAGCTCTCATCTGATTCATCAACATAAACAATAGAGCACCTTAATGCAGGTCAGTGAAAAGTTCCAAAGGCAAACAAGACACTTTGCTCCAATATAAAACATTTTCAAGCCCAACTTGACTTGGATAATTTGCTAATATTAGTCACCAGTACTAATGAAATTTTTTCTACCCTGTACTACCCCTCAGATAGATTGTTGAAAAAAGTTAAGAAATGTGGTTTTAAAATGTTACGCTATCTCCCTTTATCCTGTTTTCTTGGGCCTTTATCATAAATTAATGTTGAACTTCATCAAATGCTTTCTCAGCATCTATTGAGATGAGATAATTATTTTTTTACATAAGGTGGATTACATTAAGTGATTTGTAGATGTTGAACATCCTTGATGTATCCCTGGGATAAATCTTACTTAGTTATGGTATATAATCCTTTTTATGTATTGTTGGATTACATTTGTTAAGATTTTATTGCAGATTTTTGCATATGTTCATTGTGGAGATTGGTCTCTAGTTTTATTTTTTTGTGTTGTCTTTGTCTGGTTTTGGTATTAGTGTAATGCTGGCCTTGTAAAAGTTACTTAATAATGTTACTTCTTTTTCAATTTTTTTGAAGGAGTTTTTGTTGTGTAAGCATTAGTTCATTATTGAATATTTAGTAGAACTCATTTGTGGGACCATCATTGCTTTTGGTTTTGGGGAAGGTTTGGTGGTTGTTTCAGTTTCACTGTTTATAATTGATTTGCTTAAATTTTCTTTTTCTTTTTTGTTCAGCTTTGAGTGATTGCATAGTTCTAAGAATTTATTTGTCCATCCCTAGATTGTTGAGCATTTTTAGATATGTTTTTAATACTCTCTGATTATCCTCTGGGTTTCTGCTGTGTGCGTTGTAATTTATCCTCTTTCATTTATAATCTTATTTATTCAGGTTTTCTTCCTTTTTTTCTTTTTTGAGCCTTGCTAGAGGTTTGGCTTTTATTTATTTTTTGGAAGAATCAGCTTTTGGTTTCATTGATCTTTTTCATCTATTTCTGCTTTAATTTTTGTTACTGCCTTTCTTCTACTGACTTGGATTTTTTGTTCTTTTTCTAGTCCTCAAAGTGGGTGTTTCTTTGGGTTATTTCTTGCTTTTTGCTATATACTTTCCTCATAATACTAAATCCCATATGTTTTGGAAAGTTGTGTCTTCATTGTTATTCATCTCATGGTATTTTTCAATTTCTCCTTTGATTTCCTAATTAACTCAGCGGTCTTTCAGTAGCGTGTTGCACAGTCTTCATGTAATGGGGGAGCTACCTGCTTGCTTTTCATAGTTAAAAACACAGTGTATGTAAAATATAGAAGAAGCCTAGAAGGGTAATGAGTCACATGACACATGATATTACATTAGATTCAGTCTGTGATTTACTGTTACTATAAGTGGACATTAATTTACATTTCAATGACAGACAGTGTTTGGAATGTCAAGAGTATAGTAGAGAAAAAAAGATTAAAATCTTTGCTTCCACAGATAGACAAACAAAAATATTATTAGACTGGGAAACTGATGTGGAGTAGGATGCTGTTTTTAAAATAGGATTATTAAAGGTGGCCTCTTTCAAAAATGACAGAAAAGAACCATGAGGGAAATGAGCGAGTAAATAATAAAAATATCAGGGTGAACACATTTTAAGAAAGTGAGATTTAAGAAAATAAGAAAACTCAATAATTGTTCCAATAGATTTTTCTGAGAGATGGCCATGAGACTTGGCAAAATTGTCACATCCACTTGCCTAACTGCTAGCTCTGCTGAATTGGGAGGACAGTTGGTTCATTTCTGTCACTCCCACATTCATGGGACCAATTTGGTGAAAATATTGTGAAACTCTGGTATGACATTATTGCCTCAGCATATTTAACTAGACAGAGAGAGAAAACATACAGAGAGAAGGGAGGAAGGACTTGCCCTCAGAACAAACAATTATCCAGCTTATTTGACCTAAGCAACTGGAAGAATGAAATGCTATTTACTTAGAGGCCTTTAACCAAATGGAAAGGTTCACAAAGGAGTAGTTTTTGGACAGGAGTGGGAGTCTTAAGAATTCATCCCTGACCCTATTAAATGAAAAACATTTATTAAATGTATTTTGAGGGAGTGCTTAGTTAGATTAATCTCAGTTCAAGGATAAAGCTAGATATGGAAATTAGGCTGTATATAGGACAAGGTTTTTCAAACTGTGAATTGTAACTCATTTTAAAGCTAATAAGATTAATTTACTGTTTAATACTAGAATTTCTATGTTAATAGAAAGGTTAAAATATATAAACACACACAAGATAGACCTATGTATACTTTGGACCACAATATAAAATTTTTTTATTGTTGTATGTATCCATTTATCATGGTTGCAGTGAAAGAAATTGAAAAATGTTAATATAGTTGACTCAGCTCTTTTTTTCAAGTTTCTAAAGTCTTCTAACATATAGATTTAAAGTTCTAAGTTTCCTTTTAAATACTAATTTAAACTGTAGTCTATAAATTTCCATTTAATCTAGACATTTTTTTTCAACAACTTGGGAACTTTCAGATTTTCTCATGCTAATAGTTTAATAAATTAAGTGATTTTAGCTTGTTTGTTGCCAGATAACGACTTACGTGACTTACGTTCATTTAAATTTGTTGCCCTAAATACTTATCTAGTGTGTTCAGTATATATATGTATATATATGTATATATATGTATATATATATGAACGTTATAATTAAAATATAAAAGTAGATTATAATTTTACAATGAGATTACATATTTGTAAGAAAAGCATATCTAAAGCTGTTCTTATCCATATCTACTGTAGAGAAAAGAAAGATTTGGAAAATATTTATTAAAGTGTTAATAGTAACTTTTCATGAAAGAAAAAAATCTAAAGATTATTATTTTTTCTTATTCCAGTATTGAATATTTTTTGTTGTTGTAAGAAACTTAAAATTTAAACAAACAGGTGGTAAAATGAATACTTGTAGATTCACTTTAAAATAGAGAATCTTTATCTTCTTGTTTTATTGATCATAGGATTTCTTTTAGTTTAAAACCATGAGCCCTTTCTTTTTCTAATGAAAAAATGTATTTACTGATACAATCCTTTTTGTTTTTAAGGTCATTGTGTCAATGAGTATAACATTCGCTCAACAAGCTGAGCTCTCTAGACTGTCTGAGGGAAAAGAAGATACTACATCATCAGTACAAGCACATGCTCTCTGTCAGCAAGAGCAACATTTTTTAAATGAATTATCACAGGGTCAGGTTGGTTTTCAGACTTCTGAAGCAAGAGACATGAAATTTAAAGAAGAATTTAAACCACTTAGTAAAGAATTAGAAGATGGAAATAAAGTTTTGTTGTCAAATAATAATGATCTTGATGATACACTAGGATCAAAGGAACATGCAATGACTATTTCAGAAGAAATGTTCTCCAAAGATAAAACATTTACAGCCAAAGAGTCTGTAAGTATACTTCCTTGAATACAAAATCTTTCAGAATTGATTTCCTTCTCTTTTGAAATTTTAGCAGCAGTAATGGAGAAGGAATGTATCAAGTCTAATCTAGACTTAAGATTGACATGATGAATTTTTTGCTTCTGTTAGGCATATAAATAAATGATTTAAGCAGTTCTAAATTATAGTATTTTTATATATCTTAAGTTCATTGTGCATAGTAAAATTTCATAAGTTAAACCTACATTGATTTTGCTTCAATCAATTCATGATAATTATATTACAAACTAGTGATATGTATAAGTAATTTAATAATAAACCACAAGGAAATAGCTATCTAATTAAGAAAATAATTTAAAGCATTATTTCTCTACTCAGTGGTCCCTTTAATAAAAAATAATAAATGCTTTTTTAGAACTACCTAATTTAATTTTTTATTAATGTTCAGGGAAAGTTATACCTTGTTTATAGGTATGTTCAAATAAAATTGTCAACTCTATGAAGTGCAAGACTTCTGGTATATTCATGAAAATTTTTATGAGCAAATGTTCAGACAGAGTGATTCTTTGAAATAATAGTTCTTTAAGGAAAACTTACACACTCAAATAAAAGACATATTAAGAGTATGAATGAATAGAATAGAAAAATCTTTATTTCCAAATAAAATATATTGAAGATTATTTCATATCAAGTATTTCTCTGTAGTGCTGTGATGACCAATGCATAATAGAAATCAGAAGATAGTTTCTCATGTTTTATACATTTAATTTTAAAATATAGGTATCCTTGTTTGATATTACAGCTGATATATATTTCCCTCATAAAATATGAAAAATATGGAGTTATAACTTCATTTAGAGTAGAAGGAATCATGAATATCTTTATTTTCCTTCTTTCAAATTTAGATAACATCAAACTGATAATTATTTTGCTTTTAGAGGATAGCATGTGATAACATTGATTTGTAATTATAATTAAAAATGCCTTTTGAAAAAGGTTTTAGTTTGATAGTGGTAATATGCTATCTGGCACTTCATGGAGTTAATAGAATTGCTTTCATACTTATTTAAAATACTGATGCTGACAGCTTTCCATGAAATGTGTCATTGTTGAGGGCGTTGGGTTTTTTCCCCTTTTAGATCTGTGATGAAATTTTGGAATCAAACATGGATGCTTCTAGACAACTAATGTTAAATGAAGAACAGTTGGAAGATATGAGGCAAGAACTTGTACGACAATACCAAGAACATCAGCAGGCAACAGAATTGTTAAGGCAGGCACACATGCGTCAGATGGAGAGACAGCGAGAAGACCAAGAACAGTTACAAGAAGAGATTAAGAGACTGAACAGACAATTAGCCCAGGTACAGGATTTATGCACTCTCCTTTCTCCCAAATAAAATAGCTGTATTCTTTCTGTAACTTTTATAAAATACTGCCACAATACAAGTAAATATAAACATAAATATTTACTGTCAGGAGCAGACTCTACCAGCACAGGAGGCTTAGATCTTGTTAGGGACACTTAAATCAACCTTAGAGTGCATTTCCACTCTACCAGTTTATTAAGTGCCTTTGTAGGCACTGGAACAGTGGCCATAAGTTTCTACTGTAAATCATTCTATTGATATTTGGCAAATCATCTTCACAATTTTGGAAAGTAATTATGCTGATGTACAGTTGATACTCAGCTTTCTTATATTCATTTATATTAAATATGAATCTACCAAGTAGCATCTCCAAGGTTTCCTGTATCTACCTTTAATCTATCTTTTAATCAAGATTGGGAATCTGAAGTAGTATGTTTCTGGACTTTTCTACAGAGAAACATCTCTTCTTGATTTGAGAAATCAAATTTACTTAACATTTTTATCCTTTTCCTGACTAAATTCACTTATCTTTATTATTTGGGAGCTGGAGTCTTATCAACTGCTGTATATCATATACTTACAAAATCATTGCAGAAAAGCAATAAATATGTAAAAGTTCTTTTGAAAACAAATTTAATTCAGTTTGAAAATTTAAGCTAAAAAGAGGTATAAGAAACTGAACTCTTGAAATAATGTTTTTTCAAATTTTGAATGCTGGGAAATTTGAGAGTTTGAAAATAAAGCGTATCATTTGGGAAAATTAATTTTGCTTTTCTTCATTGCATTTTGTGAATTTAGACTTCTGAATTTTCAATGCAAAATGAACATATCAATATAATATTAATTGAGCTGTACAAATTCCTGAATATTTAAGCTTAACTAGCTTATGTTAAGTTTAAGGTTTTGCATTGAACTTTATATATACTTTTAACCCCTAATCATGGGATTGGAGCATAGGTAGAACCAGGACCTGCTGGTTCCAAGGAGGTTAAAAGAAATCTGCTTAATATTTCTGCTTTTTCTTCTGTCGCAAACAATATTCTCTCATGACCTTTTTTCTTATTTAGAGATCCTCAATAGATAATGAAAACCTGGTTTCAGAGAGAGAGAGGGTGCTTTTAGAGGAACTGGAAGCATTAAAGCAGCTGTCTGTAGCTGGAAGAGAGAAGCTGTGTTGTGAGCTGCGCAACAGCAGTACGCAAACACAGGTAGTATGGACTTTGGCCCACTTAGGAGTAATGGATCAACAATGCAGTAGGATCTGTTTGTCTGTGTTGGTGGTGTGAAATTTATTTTTTATAGGTTTTCAGCCTAACATATTTATGATTGCTTACATGTAAGGTAGGTGGAGTCAAATGCCTTATACATTCTACTTACGGTAATTAGTGAACATTGGACATTGGAATTGGACATTGCCATAGCAGCAACTGTTATTTCACCAAGGAGCAAGCTAACATCTTACTGTCACTCGATAGCATGTGTTAGCTTGAACTCGTGAAAATTATTTTCATATGTGCACACTTTTTGATAGTGCTAATCTCTTAATAAAATATAATTAAATAGGTTTTTCAAAAGTATCTCTGTTTTGTACACAAAGGTTCCCATTGTGCTTTTTAACAATATAAAAGAATGATATGCTATTTCCAAGATGACAGGTTTTCTTTCTGTTTTGTCCTATCTACCTTTGCACCAACTTAAACAGAATGAAAATGAAAATCAAGGGGAAGTTGAAGAACAGATCCTGAAAGAAAAGGAATTGGATAGAAAACCTGATGATGTTGCTCCTGATCTTCTCTCCAATGAAAGGTATACAAGAATGTGTGTTTTTTCAGTGGAAAGTGAATTTAAAATAGTTGTTTTAATGTTAGAGTTTTTATTTGTCCTTATTTTTAAACTAATACTGTTATTTTATTAGTACGTCATACTGTGTATGTAAAGAATTACTAAATTTCAGTCATTAAATAGACAAACTTTTTAAAAAATCTTTTCTTTCTAAAATAATTTTGGTTTGATATTGATCATGTATTTAACTCAGTAAATGGAAAAGGTATTTTGTTATTGAAAATTCCTTGATTAGTTATATTCTGCTCACATGCAGTTGTATATCTATCTCTTTTCATTTACTGCATAACAGGTGAGAACTTTTAATCCACATTCTGGTTTTATTAAGGCATAAATTAATGCTCTAATGTTAACAAAATTTCCCCTTAATCTGATATTGTAGAAGTTAATATAAAAAATGTTAAGCTTTAAATGAAAATAGTTACCCCACATTAATACTAGGATTTTAAGCACATATTTTAATACTTGCTTTGTTCAAATGAAAATAATTTCTTTAACCTTACATTAAAACTAATATCTACTAACTTAATTTCCTCCTTTTCCAATTTCTGTGACTGTCAACCCTCTGTGTCCTCCTAACCTCCTTCCTCAGCTTGCATGGAGGAATTTGGCCCCTAAGATTTTGGCTTCCCCATTGGATCATCAGTATGGAACACAATCAGTATGGAACTCAAACAAGAAAGACAGTGTATGAAATTTAGAGTTACCACAGCAATATAAAATAAACAGTGTGTTTATTTTATATTATTTATTTCAAATTGGTATTTTTTTTAAATTACATAGTGTTTATTTTTAGGAATTTTTATAGTGAGTGCTAATAATTGAATATTCATATTTCTTTTTACCTTTGTATTAATTTTAATAATTTTTTTACATAGAAATAAATTCCAATTATTCTAGTCCTGGGGTGTTTTGGCCTTAAAATACCTCATGAAAAGTAAAAACTTTTGACTTACTTCCTACTGACTAAATTAAATTAACTATAGTTTTATTTTTAATATCTTTACTTAAGCAGAGAACTTGATCTAAGTGCAAAAATAGAACTCTTTCACTTGACAAGTCCTGAAAGAGAACTCCATTTATTACCTTGTCTTAAAATAATTATGTCATGTGCCTGGGAAGATAGATATCCTTTAACCCGATTGTCGGTGACTCCCACAATGTGAAGTTGAGAAAACTCTCTTAAATCAATGGACCTTTATGATGAAAATTTCTCTTACTTTGTTTACATATATTAGATTTAAAAAATTCCTACTGTAATACCTTTATTGAATTAAGCTGTTATATAAGAGAGCTGTTTAATAATTCAGAATATTAACAACATAATCTTCCGGTCACCACTTATGGAAATATATTTCTTGACATTGAAAGATGTTTTTGTTAAATAAGCAGCGTACAAAAACATTTTGTGCAGTATAATGCCATGTTTGTTTTTAAATTTTATGTGTTCTGAGAAAGACTAAGGGATTGGGAAAGTCTAAACAGGATAGGCATTAAAGTTTTACCAGTGATTATCTCTAAGTGCTAAGATATTTTGGTAGGTGGTTAGCAATATATTCTTAATTTTTATAAAGAGGTATGCACCACTGTATTGTTGAAAATAGATTCTTCATTTACTGACTAAAATGTGTGTGTCATATACAATTTAAGGGATTTCTGTCTATGGAGCAAACACATTAAAAAACAGCCTCTGACACTCTTTCTGGTATTGGCAGATAGTGAAATTACACAACAGGTGTCTGCCTATTTTTGTAATTTAATCTGTACTACCCTTCATTTTTTAATGATTTTGTTTTATTAAGGTAATATGGTTCAGAAATAGAGTCCTACCTCTTTAGGTGTATGTTACATTCCATTCCTACCACCAGGGCATCCTTAGTCCTCCACCATTCTACACTTTTAAAAACAACTTTTCACATATCTTTATAATTTCTTCTAATCAGGAAACTATACTAGCTTAAAACTTTACTTATGTGATTTCTTTTAGGTCAGTTAAGGGGTACACGTTTTAAAATGTTATAGTTCACTGATTGACCAAAATTTTTAGAAGAAAATAAATTTTATAATATAACTATACATCAGAAACAAAAGGCACTTCATTGTAGGTGCTAGTGTATATTGTTTTGATAGAGAAGATCACATATTTTATTTGAGTCAAATTTGTAGTGCATTTTTTAGTGGGATATAACAAAGTGTTCACTTTTAAGACACTAAGAATTGTAATAAATGTTTCTTTATCTATACAGGTATGCACTCCAGAAAGCTAATAATAGACTCCTGAAAATCCTCTTGGAAGTTGTAAAGACAACAGCAGCGGTTGAAGAAACAATTGGTCGCCATGTCCTTGGTATTCTTGATAGATCCAATAAGGGCCAGTCATCTGTCAGTTTGATTTGGAGGTCAGAAGCAGAGGTACCTCTTAAGTCATGTGTCCGTGAGGAACACACAGCAGGTAATAGTTTTATATATTGTTGAACTATTTTGATTTTCTTTAGTTAATCTTGTTGAGTTCATGCCACTTTTCTATATATTGAAAATACAGGAAAGATTATAAAAGTATTTTCTAATTTAAAGATTGTCAAAAGCACTACTCTCAAACCATTATTATATAGCACTTGCCAGGTGGATATCTGAGCGTTGTCATCATATATTCTCAGTTACTATTGTGCTATATAAATCATCAGTAAATGAAAAATTTACACCACCACTCAGTTCTCTTCCCAATATCTATGAGTTCTGGACAACACCTTGAAATTATCTATAAATTAAGGAAAGGTTAGAAATAAAACACACGAGTTAGACATCCATTTCACATATTGTTCAGGTAGTTAGAAGAAAGTCTTTATAAGAAACCTGAGATTCGGTCTTTGGACTGTCCTCTAGGCCCTTTCTTCCATTTGGAAAAGCCGTTTGAAGTATGACAGAATGTATGTGGATGTAGAGAGTACATCTGGACTTGACTTAGCCATCTTCCTAAATGTCTCCCAATTGTGTGGGCTGAGCTCACCTTTGAATTTCTTGCTTTCACATTGTTGACTTTCAGTCTCTTGTTTAATTCAATTTCTTGTTCCTTGTTAAAGAGGGAATCAGGAAATCAAAAAGGGGGAAAGTTTTTGTCAGACTGAGAAAGGTAATGTCTGGAATTTTATATTAGAAGATTGAAACACTCTATTGCCAGATACTTCTTTCCCAATTAGAGCTGTTTTCAAATGCCAGTTTATGTGTTTTTTTGTGCACCTTCTGTTTGCTGAGTTTAATGTGGACAAGTGAAAAGAAATTACTCTATTTACAGAAGGTTTTCCTAATTGCAGTTAGGCCAGTGGTATATTTCTAAGTGCAAGAAAATCTTAATTTGGAATTTTAAATAAAATAATTGTAAAAACAGTCCAACTGAAAGATAATTTTTAATAAACTGCTTGTAGTGAAATAAATATACACTTTAAAATTTCCTTCTAAATTTATCTTAAATTTTGTAGAAATATTTTTCAATTCAGCTTCACTATTATAGCAAATGCTATTTTTTTTTCTTCATATGATAATCTAGGTGTTTAGAAAAGAATTGGGTAATATTTTCTTAGTGTCACTGTAAAACCTTTATTATACTTTGCTTTTTTAAAAAAGCAATTATTTCATAAGTCAGTTTTACTTAACCACATGGTTGTATTTTACTATCCTCCTAAGCCCTCAACCATATTAACTCTTATATTCTGGAGATTGTTATATAAATTACAAAAACATATTGTGTTTCTTTTTATTGTTAGCAGTTCTTTGGTTGGTTGGTGAAGTATTCAACTACAGCATTTTCTAGTGTGTATTAGAGATGTCTGTGTCCCATTTTAGGATATCCAATGATATGATACCTTTTCAATTGTAAGCAGTTTTAGTTTGGTTCCATAAACATTTATTGAACAATTTCTTTACTCTCTCTGCTTTATAGCAATTCAGAGTCTAATGAGGGAGGCGTTGAAATTCCAATACAAGGCAAGATAAAATCACATTATTTAAAATTTTACTTCAAGCCATTTTGCTTTTAATCAGTTGAACCTTTTTTTTCCCTTGACACTGAAAAGTTAATACAGTATACAGAATAATATAACGGAGATAAAAATTTTGGTGGAATTAGCATCATTGGTTATAATGTCATTTTCCTTTTATTTATTTGGTTTTGAATGTGTTTGTGTTTGGCAATATTCTGCTAGTCTTACTAATGAAATTCTGATGACACTATTATTTGGGGACTGGTGATCTGTTTTGTATCTGGAGGGAAATATGAATTAATAAAATTATAATTTTAAACCGAATTTTCTTATATACTTGGGAGAAAAAGCTGGTTTTAAAATATGTTCTATATGTTACTTTTTTCCTGAATTTTAATGAAGGCTTTATCAAAAAACTAAAACTCTTAAAATATATTTTAAAATGATAAATGTTTAAAAATGTATTTTATATATTTAATATAACAAGAAGTCCAGTAAATCCGATTATGAAACAGTTTTTGCTTCTCTGTTTTCATATGTGACTGTTGTTGGTAGTAGCACTTATAATCTATTTTCAGCCTTCAAGTCTGAACATGCTTAGATATTAAACATGTATGAACTTGTTAACTCTCTAAAAAAATGAGGTAATTGATTTGCTAATGTTTGCTTCCTCATGAGTAACTTAGCTTATGAAACTGAAAGGAAATTTTGAGACACTGTGAAATGATTTGAACTTGAGTGGATATTGGACTAGTTAAAAAAAAAAATGAGTTCCTATAGAGGCTTTCAGAAAATATTTCCTGTAGGACTGTACTGTGATGATTCAATAATAGAATACTTGTGATTGGAAGCCATGAACTGAATCTTATTTGCTGCAGTTGTTTCTTAGGGACAGTGTGAGGTTGTAAGAAACCATGCTGGATTAATAATCAGAAGATCGTTTATTCTTGTTCTGGCTTGCTATAAACAAAATTTCTTTGTTCACTAGGACTTCAGTTCACTTTACTCATGTCAAGTTCAAGAATCAGACTAGAGTAAATGGTTTCCAGTTGGAACCTTAGAGATCTTCAGAGGGCATTTGTTGTAGGAAATGTGCTGTCATGTTACACACCCTCTTTAATCTAAGCAGTTTATTGCCATCTATATGAAATTAACATGGTGAATCTTAGTCTCGATCCCATACATCTTATATGTTCAACACTATTTACTAAGGCAATTGAAGTACCCTTTTAATGAGTCTACAATTTGTCTTGTGATTCACAGAGTTGATTTTCTCTTCATACTCAAAAAATTATTTACCTCCCTGTTATTTGTAACAAAACCTCCAGTGTTCCTATAAACTTGTAAGAACATTTACAACTTGGATCCAGTCTGCTTTCTTACTACCTTCTTTCAGCTCTCTCTCTTACCTCATCCTCGCTTCTCCATGTAGTTTCACCCTATAAAGCCTTGACTTCCTATCATATTAGACTATTTTTCCTCAGATTTGTCAAATTTTCTGTATCTATTAGTTTCACAAGAATTTCACTGGACATTCTCATTATCCATTAATGCCTATAAACAAAGAAATTTTGTTTACAGCAAGCCAGAACAAGAATAAATGATCTTCTGATTATTAATCCAGCATGGTTTCTTACAACCTCACACTGTCCCTAAGAAACAACTGCAGCAAATAAGATTCAGCTCATGGCTTCCAATCACAAGTATTCTATTATTGAATCATCACAGTACAGAAAGACAGAATTACTTTCTCAGATAAAGATGCATGTATAATATAGGTTATCTTCAGCTTTTTAAAACACAATTATGAAATGTTAATATTTCTTCCATAACTTCTTCAAAATTTCATTTTTTCTAGACTATTTTATTTAGTGAATTTGTTGTATTTGTTATACTGTACTTCATCTGAATTCATTTTGAATTGCAAAATGTTTTTGAACTGATGAGTATTAATCCTTTTTATGAAGACATTCAATTTTGAATACATACAATAATATAAGTAAATACTGGTCAAGTTAAGTTTTTTGTAATTTTGGGGATAAAAATACAGTGAAAATTATATTTTCTATTACATTTAAATTAAACTGTTATACTAAGAATTTTTTTTTTAAAGATTTATTTATTGTGCATACAGAACTGGGGTACAGGCCAGAGGCTCAGGGGTGGTGAGAGGCTTCACCAGAGACAGAGTGGGGAACAGAACAGGCAGATCAATGAAGTACACTGCTGAGGGGAGCAGCGGGCGGGCCAGGAGAGGTCTGCCACGCCATGTGGTCACCTCCGGGGCAGGCGGGAATCGAACTCATGTGGAAGCGGCTTTAGATTCTCAGTGCTGTGCTTTAACCCGCTGCGCCACCAAGGAGGGCCCTTAAGAATTTTGTTTTTGAAGATTTATTTATTTGTACATACAGAACTGGGGTACAGGCCAGAGGCTTAGGGGCAGCGAGAGGCTTCACCAGAGATAGAGTGGGGAGCAGAACAGACAGATCAACGGAGTACACTGCTGAGGGGAGCAGCGGGCGGGTCAGAGAGGTCTGCCACACCATGTGGTCACCTCCGGGACAGGCGGGAATCGAACTCATGCAGAAGTGGCTTTAGCTTCTTAGTGCTGTGCTTTAACCCGCTGCGCCACCAGGGAAGGCTATACTAAGAATTTTATAAACCTATGTAATAGCACACATTTAAAATTATTCCCTACAATTCAGGGTTGGGTTATTCAGCCAGTATAACTTGTATAGAGGAGGTATTTAGTGAATACTAAATTGTGTTGGATACAGATCTTGTGTCTGAAACTACTTCTGATGTCATTATTACATGAGATTGAGAGACCTATGTACAGCTACTTTATTTTTTTAAAGCTTTACTTTTTTTATACATACAAGAACTGGGTGTAGGCTGAGGTATGGGGGATGAGAGAATTCCCTAGAGACAGAGTAGGGGGTAGGACAGGTGGATCCACTGAAATACACTGGTGTGGGGAACGGCAGGCAAGACAGGAAAGGTCTGCTGCACTATGTGGTTCACTTACCTGGGCAGGAATCAAACTCATGCCCAGTGGCTGGTGATTGCTTATTAGTGCTGAGACTTTAATCCCTGTGACATGAGGGAGGCCTGACACAGCTACTTTAGCAAGATACTTTAATCCGTAGCGCTTTTCTCCTAAGTGATTGTATCAATTCACTATATTTTGAAAATTAAAATTTTCTCTGCTTTTGTGAACTTTATGTAATTACTGTTAAGAAATATATACTACATATAATAAAAAATAGATAATTCTTCTCCAGGAAATTTCCACTGTTGAGTTGTAGTATGCTGCCATTGCTGAGTACTGTGTTTCAGGTCAGTGATACATGGCCTATGTTTTTATTTCAGTTTAGAGAAGATACTTCCAAGCCTTTCTTATGCCCATAAAAACTCAATTTCCTTTATATAAGAAATAAGAATAATCTGGATCCATGAGCCCATAGTTAAATTTAGAACTGTTCATCAGTCTAACCTCCTCCCTGTTAATCCCTTACAAAAGTAGTAAGCTGCCGAGTGATTTTAATTCCTTTTTTATTGTGTAGCCAGTGCTGGTAATGCTGCCCCCTGTAATGTAATGCCCAAACATCAAGTGATATACTCTAGACACAATAATGCTCTTTTTCTGTCTTTCTTTATACCTGGAACATACCATAGCACAATGTTTGTCTTTTGTTTTTATTTTTACTTTCTTTTCATACAGTTGTTTATGAACATTTGCTGATTGCATTGTATATAGTGCCCTCGATGATAGGGACCAGATCTTGCCAGCTCTGTGTCTCCAGTCCTAAGTAAACCCTGTATATTGGGCACTTAGTAAATATCTGTTCTTGAAGAAGAAAATGTCAAACAGCCCAGACATTAATTTCTGCAAAGCCAATTGACTTAGCATTATCCTCTCATTCTTGCACCTGCTTATCAGATATTATATTCTGTGTTTGCCATTTTGTTGTTGTTGCAGTGTTGTTACCAAAAGATTCTATAGTTTCATTATTACAACTTTTGATTTGATTTGTAAATACTTACTGTAATTATTAGATGTACTTGATTTTTCCCTTATAATACTATTATTCTAGTTACAGACGACTCTATATCCTCTTATTCTGGAAGTGACATGCCAAGAAATGATAGTAGCATGTGGTCAAAAGTAGCAGAAGAAGGAACAGAACTGTCACAACGGCTTGTGAGGAGTGGTTTTGCTGGAAGTGAAATAGACCCTGAAAATGAAGAACTTATGCTGAATATCAGTTCTCGGTTACAAGCAGCAGTTGAAAAACTCCTAGAAGCCATAAGTGAAACTAATAGCCAGGTAATCTCCTTGTATTACTAATATGTACTTAGTGTGAATTAGGTTTTGTTTGTTTCTTTCTTTTTAAACATTTTTGTTTATTTATACACCTAGAACTGGGGTACAAGCCGGAGTTGGGGGTTGGTGAGGGGATTCACAAGAGACAAGAATGACAGATAGGCCGAAATACACTGCTGAGGGGAGCAGTGATCGGGTCAGGAGAGGTCTGTCACGCCATGTGGATCGTCCCCTGGCCGAGGATCAAACTCGTACTTCAGTAACTGCAGTAGGTTCATAGTGCTGTGCTTTAACCTGTTGTGCCACCAGGGAGGGCCCACTATCTGCAGTGCTTTAAAAGAAATAAAACAACCTTATGTATTGAAAAATGTTTAGCTTCAAGCAACTGTAGACTCATAACTTGTATAATCAAGATTGTGCTTCACTTTTATTAACTTATAAAGCTGTTATTATTAACACTTTCATTGATATATCTTTATTCAGAATATCTTTATTCAGAATATCCTACATCTATATGTATTTCAAGAAGTAGTGGAAAGTTGAAAGAATGTTTTGTTATTTCTAATGTCTGGCTTTCATTAATGTTGCTTTTTTCTCTCTTAGAAATCATTTTCTATATGGGGTATATTTTGTGTTTTAAAACCAGATTCACTTACTTTTAGAGTCTGCTAGTGACTAGACCATTTCTTTCATCATCTCTTGATTAGTGACCATTGAAATAATTTGTTAACTATTACTTAGTTAACAGCATTATCAATATATTTGTTTTTCCTCTTGGTAACATTATTGGCATTCAACAAAGGAGACATTATTCAAACAATATATTTTCAAATGAAATACTTGTACTCATAATCTTTAGATAATAATCCCAAGTAATCTTGCTTCAGAGTCCACGCTCTTTACTGCCACTTGTTCTGCCCTTTGAAAATGAAATGAATGAGTCACTCCCTGATCAGTCATGAATATTACAGACTTTGGAGGAAGGGGATTATTGATGACATTATAAGAAGAGTGTTAGTGGAGTAATTTAAATAACTTATTAAGTAATTTTATAACGTAACGAGAAAATTGTAAGCAAGGACTTAAAAGACAAATAGAACAAAGTAGGTATGTCAAAAAGAATTTGTGGCAGAAGATATAGCATATTAGTGTAAAACAGCATGATATGTATAAGGGCAGTGATAATTTGTATTGTAAATACCCAGGATAGAATGTAGGAAACTGATTGGAGCTGAACAAAGTGGAATGGGTAATGGTTAGATGTCAAAATCCTGTGGGCTAAGATAGGAGTTTTAACTTTATGCTGAAAGATGTGAAGAGTTACTGAAGTTCTTTTGACAAGAAGATAATTATATCAAATTTGTGAATTTAAAAATACAGACTTTATTTTTTTTTAAAGGTTTATTTATTTTTGCATACAGAACTAGGGTATAGGCCAGAGGCTCAGGGGCGGTGAGAGGCTTCACCAGAGACAGAGTGGGGAGCAGAACAGGCAGATCGATGAAGTACACTGCTGAGGGGAGCAGCGGGCGGGTCAGGAGAGGTCTGCCGCGCCGTGTGGTCACCTCCGGGGCAGGCAGGGATCGAACTCATGCGGAAGTGGCTTTAGCTTCTCAGTGCAGTGCTTTAACCCGCTGCGCCACCAGGGAGGGCCCCTAAAAATACAGACTTTACTTTTAAGAGCAATTTTAGTTTAATAGCCAATTGAGTGGAAAGTACAGAAGTATTGTATATATCTCCTGCCCCCACAGACACATATCTACCCCAAAATGAAAATCCTGCACCAGAGTGATACATTTGTTATAGTTGCTGGACCCTCATTAACCTGTCATTATCATCATAATTTACATTAAGGCTCACTTCTAGTGGTGTATAATCTGTGGGTTAGACAAGTATATAATGACTTACATTTCCCCACTGTAGTATCATTCAAAGTAGTATCACTGCCCTAAAAAATCTGTTGTGCTTTGCTTATACATCTCTTCCCTCCCCATTAATCCCTAACGACTAGTGATCTGTTTACTGTCACCATAGTTTTACCTTTATCAAAATGTCATTTATTTGGAATCAGACAGTCTTTAGCTTCTTTTTTAAAAAAGATTTATTTATTTATGCATACAGAGCTGGGGTACAACATTTTATATTGTCAGTGTTGGGTTTTGACCACTATGATATGTATAAAATGGTAGCTCACTGTTGTTTTAATTTGCACTTCCTTTCTGAAATGTTATGTAGAGCATCTTTTCATATATATAATTGCCATTTGTGTATGTCTTTCATAAGGTGTGGATCTCTTTTGCCTTGTATATTAGAGAGATTTCTCAGGCACCAGTATGATAGGTGGATATGGATCTACTAAGATGGTGAGGAAGGATGCTGAAGGTGGACAAAGAGAAGACACTTAGAACAATTCAAGTGAAAACTCTCTATGAGTAAGTTAAGGAGGAGAAAGTGATTTAGAAAAACTCAAGGAAGTTGAATTTGATAGACATTGTATGACTGACTGTGGCCTATAAGGAATAGGTGAGGAAACCGGGTATGAATCCTTGATCAACCAAGTTGCTAGATACTTTATTTACTGAAGAGTATGCAAAATAAGTAAATAATTTCTGACTTAGATAACCTTCAGTTTCAAATGCATGGAGGAGGGGCATCAAGTGAAAATATTTACTCAAATAGAGTTTGGGGAAAAAACAGAAATTGTCATGCCTTCTGAAGGCATTTGAAATCATGGTTTTAGAGAGTTAATTTTTGTGTGTGTTGGTCTTAGAATGTTGATGTTTAAAAAAGGTAAGATACTTAAAATAGATAAGTCTACAGAGATCAAGCATGGGAGATAAAAGGAAATCAAAAGAATGGTGTTATAAAAACCAAATGAGAGATTTTCCAAAAGTATCAGAAACAGAAATATGGATACTTAAGATATAGTATCTATTACTATTTTTTTTTTGTCAGTGGCTTTGTTAAGAAGAGATTCATTGAGTTTGTAGATGAACAATTCAGAACTCATAGAGTTGAAGAAGTAGAGCCAGTAACTTCACTTGTCCATGAAGAAAATAGGAAAACAGGATAGCACTACCTTAAGGAGAGTATTTTTTTTTTTTAAGATTTATTTATTTATGCTTACAGAATTGGGGTACAGGCCAGAGGTGTGGTGGGTGAAAGGATTCACCAGAGACAGAGTGGGGAGCAGAACAGTCAGATCTACTGAAATACACTGCTGAGGGGAGCAGCGGGCAGGTCAGGAGAGGTCTGCCACGCCATGTGGGTTGGCTCCCTGGCCAGGTATCAAACTCATGCTGCAGTGGCTTTGGAGAGCTTCATAATGTGGTTCTTTAATCTGTTGAGCCACCAGGAAGAGCCCTGTTTTGTTTATTTGTTATGGTAGGAATGATTCATATTAAGGAGCAATAGAGAAGTTGAAGATGCAGAACAGAGAGAGGCTTTGTGGAGTTAGATTCTTGGGTTAGGTAAGAATGAAATCCAGCATACCAAAGGGGAGATAGAACATGTGACTTTTCCATCAATGAGGCTTTACCTCCATTAAAATTGGAAAGAGGGATTATTGCAGTTGATTGTGAGTTTGTGATTGAGGTGAAGGACAAGTTGCATAGAAAAGATTCCATAGTCTAAGTAAATATTCTTGAATAGTCAAGATTTATTCTTTTTAATTGTTATATTTTAGTGATATGGTTTTTATACATTGTATAATTTTGGTGAGTTATATAATTAATCCTGTACTTAGTTGTAAGGTTTGTATACTACCTTAGGTTCCATGGGTGCACCCTGCCTTTAATAAAAAATTTAGTGCAGTTTCTTTATGAAGTATCAGGATTGTCTGCTTTAGAAGACAGATTTTATAATATCTGTCATAGCAATAGTTTACTATATCTTCATGTTTGATTTGTCTAGTGATTTGCCCAATTGTATGTCCAAAGTCATATAATGCATTTCTTAAAGATTTACTCTCATTGCCCAGACAGGCTACCATAAAACCAGGCTTTAAGAAAATGAAGAAAACAGGATAGCACGATCTTGAGGAGAGTATGTTTTGTTTGTTTTTTAAGGTAGGAGTAGATCCTATTGAGTAACAGTGGAAAAGTTGAAGATGCAGAACAGAGGGAAGCTTTGTAGAATCTGACTCCCTTTTGCATTTTCCTAGTGATTGGGATAGCTTTCATTATTATGAGGAAAAGTGCTTAGAGACTACCCTCAGGCCCTAGAAGGTTAGTCTCTCTAACATAGTATCAATTAATCTCTCTGCAATTTTTCAAAATGTTATCTTTGAGAGCATGGCTTCAGGTTCTTGATTCTTGTATCAGGAAGAAACAGAAGTCTTGTCATTAATTAACATTTTCCAGAATCTAGAGGTACTCTGATGTAAAGCCATTAGATTATTAATGACCAAGACATTCCCTTATATCCTGGAAGAAATTAATGAATACGGAATTTATTCATATAGAATGATTTTTATTAGAAGAACGGAACTGAAGGCACAGATTTCTATGTTTTCTCAAAAAAGGGACACTTTCCCTAAGAATAAAACAGGAAGAAAATTAAGATCTTATTTTCTCATTATTGTATTTTAGACAAAACTGTCATCAAACAGTTGAGACACACTTTGCCACTAGTTGTTGTCCCCATTGTGTTTACTAGGTAAAGGTTCTGCCATTGTTGTGTCTAGGATTTAGTCCCTCTACAAAATAATTTAGAGAAATTAATAAAATCTGAAAGAACAGAAATATCCCAATTTAAGGGCAATGTTTATGGAAAAGTAAGATTAAATAACTTGACACAGTATTAAAATAACAGCTGTTTAATTTGAGAAATGTAGCTCTGTGTCCCAAATTAATAGTATTTAAATATACATTAAGTTCTGGTCTAAAACTGGTAATAATAAACTAGTCCTAAAAGAGTATCCTTCTAAAAATCTGACTCATTTTACTTTAACTGATTTTATTGCCAAAGTTTTACATGCTTTCTAACATAGAAACAAAAACATA